TAGAGTTTTGGGGTATATTATACTATAGTTATAATCAGGAACCCTAAGAACAAAATTGGTAATTATGGAGGCCCCTACAATATGTCAAAGGCGTGGATTTACGGCTTTCGGGCTTCAGGTCCGGAGGCTCAGGGTCGAACTGCGCCTGATCAGCCCAGGGTCCTTCCCTGACGGTTGTTCCGTACCAGCAAAACTACTTGTTTAGGGTTTAGGGTTAGGTTCAAGGTTTATAGGGTTTAGGTTTAGGGTTAGGTTTAGGGTTTAAAGGTTAGGGGTTCAGGGTTTAAGGTTTAGGTTCAAGGTTTAGGGTCTAGGGATCAAACCCGCAAACCTAATAAGTACACCCTAAGCCCTACACTCTAAACTCCACGGGTTGTTGCCCTTATGGGTTTCGGCTGGTTCGGGATTTCTAGTGGGCGGCTGCTTTATCATTATTCGGGATGTGGGGCTTTATGGTGCAAGCTTCAGGATTGTAGGTCAAAGGCATGCGCCATTCGATTCACCTACGTAGTAAGCCTGATAAGAGAGCACCTAGCAGTCCATGCCCTGCCCAGGAACCGTTCCACAAAGAAGAGGCTCGCAAGAGGCCCCCGACGTCGAGTGAATTGAATGCCAAGATGAGCATGGGACTGTGGCGGGAGGACGATTTCATCCCAGAACAAACCCAAAAATCACCTGCACCCTGTGTCACGAACGGACAAGGCCTAGCGGCACTATGGCAAGGTTATGACTAAGCCTGGGCTGGAGCTGGAATGCGGCCGTGCCGGCCTTCTAATCACACAGTCTTTTCCTCTGCACGTAAGAACCCCAGAACTGTTACAACGCTGCCTAGGGCCTAGGGGATAAAACCAAGCACACTCTGTCCAAACCCGTTCTTTAATCAACCCTCGTAAAACTTCTCACGCAGAACTCCTCAAAACCTAAACCCTAAACCCAACACCCTAAACCCTAAACCCAAAACCCCTTTCATGCCGGCGAAATGGTTTCAGAAGCCTCAGGCTCCCGAACCTGAAGACCCAACAACTCACGAACCTCTTAGAGCCCGCAAAGTTGACTCAAATGGGGTAAATCCAAGGGTAAAAGGAGGGACCCTTAATAAGGACCCCTAGGTATATACCCTTGATATAGCCTTTATATACCCATTATATAGCCCATTTTAGGGTAGGGGTCCCCATTAAGGGTCCCTCCTTTTCCCCTTTGAGTAAAGGGTTACTATAAGGGTACTATAAGGGTCCCTGTAAAGGGCTAATTAGGGGTTACCTTATTTTGGGGGTCCTTAAAATGAGGATCCTACTGTTTAGGGTACTATTTGGGTGGCTGTCAAAATTAAGATCCCTTTTCGGGTACCCTTAATGCTAGGTGCCGTATGATAATAAGGACCCAAAAAAAGGGACCATAATTTTGACAACCACCCGAATGACAATTGGACCCGCCGAGACTATGATAATAGTCTTTGTACGCAGAAAAGACCTGAAAAAAAATCCAGACACCAGTACCCGAAAAGGGATCTTAATTTTGACAGCCACTCAAATACTACCCCAAATAGTAGGATCCTCATTATAGGGACCCCCAAAATAAGGTAACTCCTGGCCAAACATCTCATAGCTTCTCATTCTCAGGCCTCAGACCCAGGAAAGCCTGAAGCCTCTTCCATAGGAGAGGTTCAGAAACAAAGGACCCCGGCATGGACCCTGGAAAGTACCCATAGGCTCCATAGTAGTTCCTTTTTGGGATTACCTTAGAGGATTCTATTTATGAACCCCAAAAAGGAACTACTTTGGAGCCTCTAGGTAGAATCTTGAATTTCGGAAGACACACTTGATGAAGGCACCTCAACCCTATACGCCCCAAACCCTGATCCCTAAACCCTAATCCCGAAACCCTGGCCCCCGCACCCTAAAACTTAAGCCGAGGAATGGTCAGAGAATCCAAAACTGGGTCCGGGCGCCCTGGAAAGCTGCTCGGCCGTGCTTTCGCCCTGGACACCAGGTCGAGCTCGAAGGTTGTTAAGGATTTTTAGGGATCCTGAACGGTTCTTTCTGTCTTTGGGCAGCGGCGAGGTCCTCTTCAGGGGTTTAGGGTTTCGGGTTTAGGGGCTTTGGGTTTAGGGTTCAGAATGCTGCTTACTGCTTTGGGTTTAGCGAAAGAGATGACCAAGGTCGGCCTGCATGTACGCATGCACACGGAAGCAAGCGGGGCAAGCCGGCAATCGAGCCGGCCAGTAAGAAGAGCGAAATGCATGCGTATGCACACAAGTATGCGTGCGAATGTGCATGCGGGACCGGACGGCTGCATGGCTGGATGACTAGCTGGCTTGCCTGCCTGGATGCATGCAGGCAGGCCAGTATTTGCAGGAGTATGAATTTGTATACACAGCGTGCACGAGTGTACTTGTTCGGCCTTATTCGCACATCAATCGTCCCTTAGACTCCTTCATGTCGATAGTTCTCTAAATTAGGGTACGTTTCAGGGTCCTTTTTACAAGGGGGCCGTACTGACGCCAATGTAGAGAACTACCCATGTATTCAAATTGTGTGCAACATTGCAGCTCGAGGGCTAGGCAGGCAGAAAGCGCGTTCGCGCAAGTCGCAGTCTCAAACAAGACGACAGAAACACAAACACACACACACAAGCATCCAGCATCAAAACCCGAAGCCCTAAACCCTAAACCCTAAGCTGAACCCCATGGTTCTAAACCCGAAACCCGCGCAAGAGAAATGTCGAGGCTGTCACCGTTCGCTGCATAACGAGCTGGACGACCTCGCGACTACCTGCGGTTTCCGATTGGTGTTTAGGGTTTATATTGGGGCCTTACTAATTACAATAGGGTTTTGGGGCCGCATGATACGACATGTATATCTAATAAGGAACCCCCAATAATAGTATTGGTGATTATTGAAACCCCTATATTAGGGTTCGGGATAGAGTGTTTAGGCCCAGCTTAGGCGCTTTGGACTTAAGTTTGGGGGTCCAGGGCATGGTACTGTTGCTGGCTCTCTGAGGGTTGTATCTAGGGCTGCCTGGGAATATTGATTTTGGCGGAGGCAGTGTCCCGCTGGCCGAAGAACCGAAACTTTAAACACGTAGACCCGAGCTTTAAACCCAAAATCCTTAACCCGCAACACGCTTAAGCAACACCCTAATCGAACACTACACGCCGCCGTGACATTCTGCAGAGCTGCACCAACCCCAAGCAATGCTCCTCCCCTTCCGACAATCCGATACTTCTTACAGCCGGTAGGTGCCAATCCACACATAAACCCCACACTGGGAGTTGTTGTTTCTGGTGGCTTTCTTAAACTGAAGAGTACCTTGCTTCAGGCTCCTTGTGAAGAACAAGCCTGCTATGTTTGGGCTTGGGCTCCTCTACTCTGCTGAATCCGACAACATCAACTGCAGAATGAAAACTCTCCGACCTTTCCATCGACCGACGCAAGCTTCAGGGTCATTCGTCGAACGCGGGCGACTGTCAAACGATGCCCAATTCCACCCCAAGACTTCAAATGATATCCTTCGATGCAGCGCTCAACCCCAACAGAACTAAAACCCTTACTAAACCCTAAACCCTAAACCGCTAAACTCTAAACCCTAAACCCTACCGTAAACCCTAAACCGCTAAACTCTAAACCCTAAACCCTACCGTAAACCCTAAACCGCTAAACTCTAAACCCTAAACCCTAACCTAAACCCCTACCGTAAACCCTAAACCCGGCAACCCCCGAGCCTGAGCCCCAAGCGTGGAATTTCGAGGGCCTCCTAAACTCCTGAGTTTTGACCAATGAAAACATGTAACTCTATGGGCTTAGGGTTTAGGGTTTAGGGTTCAGGGTCTATAGTCTCCATTGTGGTCCTTTTCTTGCTTAACCGATTTCATATTTCTGTCTTACGGCGAATCGGCGCTAGGCCCCTCAACCCTAAACTCTTGAGGGCTTCGACCCCCAACCCCTAAAGAGGCAAGACACTGGTCCGAAGCTCCAAAAGCTCCGCCAGGGACAAGAACCTCAGTCTCTCGGTTGATGGTTTAGGATTCAAGGGTTAGGGTTTAGGCGCTAAACCCTGAACCCTGCTTGTTTATGTGTGGGTTTCGCTGAGTTTAGAAGGGTTCTAGACGGGCGTAGAGTTCAGGGATGAGCTGTCAGGGTTTAGAGGTTTGAGGAGTGCCTAGGTTTTAAGAACATAGTTCTGAGCTTGAGGCTTTCAAAACGAAGGCTTAATTAACTGGACATAGTACTGCGAAATTATGTAAGCCTTCAATGAATAATTGGGATACCTTGTAGTATAGCCACCGAACACTGTTAGTCATTATCCAGGCGTCAATAGTATAGGGCTTTGTGTTCGGGGGCGCGAAGCCAGTGCCAAGGGCTGGGACAGGACCCGATGATCCAAGGACCGAGACCCAGAGAGCCTAATACCCCTTATTCAAGGAATATAGCTTAAATCATAATATTAAAACCCTATATAAGTTAAGCCATATTCCTTTATTAAGGGGTATTGGGCTCTCTGGGGAAAGCTCCCGTGTGTGCGAATCACACGGTTAAGTTTGAAGGCGGGGGGGGGGTCAGCTGCATGCTTAAAGCTTTAGCACGCTTCTGTGCGTGTCGGGCCATGTTTCATGTTTCGGCCAGGTTTCAATGAGCTTTAAGCCCCAAACCCTTAGTCCCGTAATATAGGGGCCTGAATAATTAGAATATGGTTTTGGGGCCCATTATACTATAAATACAATAAGGACCCCCCCCCCACCAAAAAAAAAAAGGAACTTGTTAAGGCCTCTAAACTAGTCATTCAGAAGCCCTGCATCGATCTGGAATCATGTTATCGCTGTAGGGTGAAAAGAGACGTCATGGAATCGTACCGCATTCTGGTGTTTAGGGTCTAGCGAGTCTAGCGAGGTGCCGTTGAGTCTCACCTCGACCCCAACCTACTTGCGAAGTCTCCTAAGCCTTAATGTGCCGGAACAGCGGATGCAGCGCTTCCTTTGCTTGCATGGTCAATGGTGAAACTCAGACGGCGAGCTTCCAAACAGCGTCTGTAGGCACAGTTTCTTTGGGACACGCGCCATCCACCCCCGGCGCCAGATCGCAAGACCCCATGGCGCCAACGCACGTTTCTTCACCTGGGCTCATCTTGTTCAGGGATTTAACTTAAGTTACAATAACAAGGAACCCATAGTATCTGCCATAGATCCCTATTATCGTAACTTAAACCAAATTCCTTAACAGGAGCCCAGCCACGTGTAAGCAGACGCTTCGTTTCGTCCAAACGCCAAAACTTTTTTACTGGGTCCTGGACTTCGATGTAGCATCTGCAGCAGACGAAGTACTTCTTGGGATCGTGTGGTTTTTCCATATTCTGGCTTCCGTCGCCAAGTGCCTCATGTAAGTGTTCTCGGGCACCGTCCTGATCGTAAATACAATTATCTTGGGCTAGGGGCGCCTCAGACATATGGGGGTTGAAAAAGGTTTTCAGCTTTGGGGCTCTACTCTAGGGTGGTTTGCAGTTAAATCATTTCACCAAAGATCCATTCTTGAAGAACCCGGCTCTTGCGAGCCTGACTGAAGTTCAGGTAGGGCCTTGGTGAAAAGCCTTGGGGAGATAGACTAGTGAAGGGGTCTTTTGTTTTGTAACATGGTATTACGGAGGGCTGATGCATAAAGCATATTCTGTACACTTGTGCTCCATGGAACGGGTTCCGTCACGGTACAGTTGCAATTGCTTCCCAGCTCGAACATCACCACACTCTTGCGATGCCACTAAAGTGCTCTGCCGGTTGGGTCCTCCTGGGCTGCAACAAGCTCATGGTGCCTGGGCCGCTACTGGGAAGTGAACGGAGGAAGAGTATTCACCTCTGGTAAACATGTAGAATAAAGCGAAAGTATAGACATCGAAAACCTGTGAAAAGAAGCAGCACACGCATACCAATGTCTCGTTGTGTGTGTGTGTGTGCGTGCATGCAACTGCCTGCATGTCATCATGTATGTATGTAGGCATGCATGTATGCATGTATGCATGCATGGACGTACGTATGTATGTAGGTATGTAGGTATGTATGTATGTGTGTATGTATGTGTGTCTATGTACTGTATGCATGTATAGATGTATGTATGGGTGCAGCTTTGTATGCATGTCTGTACGTACGTATACACACATCCATATTCATGTATCCATGTGCGCTTGCATGCGTGCAGGCATGTATGTATGCATGCATGCTACTTATGTAGGCAGGCACGTAGGGTAATATGCGTGTGTGTGTGTGTGTGTATGGCTATGCATTGCAATGTGAACTATCATGTGGTTTCATGCATCGTGATGAACTGTATAGTACTGTAATGTAACGAAATCCATGTTCGCATGCATGCAAGCATGCATGTATGTCTGTCTTCACGTGTGTCTGGACGTCTGTATGTCTGTACATATCTTTGTTTGCATGTTTGCATGTATGCACGTATGCATGTATGCATGTATGTATGTATGTATGTACGTATGTGTATACACACATATATACATATATCAGTATATAGGTTGGTAATGCATGTACGTATGTTTGTGTGTATGCACACATGTGTGTATGTATGTATATATACATGCATGCATGTATGTATGTATAATACGTATGTGTGCCTGTATGAAGTTATGTATGCATGCATGTATGCATGCACTTTCATCGTCAAGTACAGTATGGTATGGTGTAGTAAGTAGTGATAGTGTAGCATAGCATCCCATATCATAGTACAGTATGTAAGCTCATACGTTCATGCAAGTATGCAAACACACATACGCACATACACATGCGGGCATCCACACATGCATCTGCGTACATGCATAATACATACGTACATGCAGACATACACACATACATACATGCATGCATACATGAAAATACATACATACACACATACAGACAGACATGCCTACATACCTGTGCTACTGATGTAATCACTGACCCAGTCGCCGCTGCACGTCCTCCAGACTCCGGATTGCCGCCGCCGGACTGGTGAGGCACAAAGAGATGGCGGCCAAAAGCAAGCGACGCATGGGTCAAATGGCTCTGGATATGGGAAACAACGTCCAAGTAGGCTCAAGCTCGGGCCCAGCAGGACGGTCAACATGTCCAACATGCATTGTGGCTTTTTGGAGGGTTCACCTGCAACTAGGGCCTCCTGCATGTTGTGAGTTTTATGATAAGTTTTATGATACCAGACAGTGAGGCAGCACGATAGGTTGCGGCTGTGCGCATGGGGCATGTGAATGTCCTGAGACTGATGATGCCAGATAGCCAGAGGCAACTATTTGCTAGAGGTGTGGGCTAGTCGGCTAATCCATGCAAGGTTTGTGACGGTGTTTCAACTGCTAGAGGCTCCCCGGACTTTTGAAAAGACAGGTAGCACCACATTCGGCTTCGAAACTCAATCCCATGCCGCATGCCGAAGATGCTTTCGACTATCTCTTGGGATAGGTTGGGTTTGGGTTCAGGTTTAAGGTTTAAGGCTTGGAGTTTAGGGTTTCAGGGTTCGGGGTTTACGGTGCAGTCGTCGACATCCATAAACCCTAAACCCTAAACCTGACGTCTCCGGCTGTTCACAACTCCAAAATGCTAAACCCTGAACCCTGAGATCGGAGAGCCTTAAAACCTAAACCCAGGGTTTAGGGTTTAGGGTTAAGGCGGAATACGGTTTAGGTTTAGGGCGGAACATTCTAAACCTTGCCAAGATCAATAGGCTGGGTGAGTAGGTTAGGTAGAGTTGCAAGATAACGTTCTCCCGTGCTTCCCCAAATGCTGAGCTAAACCCGCATCGAAAACCTCGTGCGACAATTAGAGTTCAGGTTTTTTATCCTGTAACAGGCATCCTCTCCAAGAACACACTTTCCTCGGCACCTCGCGTTGCTACAGCAGAGAGGTCATGTCTGGTGAGGCCGACCTGACATACCGAGCGCCTACTACGGCTTCCGTTGTGGGGCTTGCGGCTTGAGGTTTTGCTTTGAGCTTGAGGTTTAGGGTCTTGGGTTCAGGGCTTTGTGTTTAGAGCTTTGGGCAGTGGATTTTGGACTGTGTGTTTCAGGCCTGCAACCTAATACCCGGAACCGCAAACCGAACATTGGCCCTGTATGTAGGTTACCACTAAGAAGAGTTGACTGCGATGCTGCCATGCCTTCGGAGCTTGGCAAATACGGTCCCAACACCCACGCAAAAACCACTACACCCTAAACCCCTAAACCCTAACCCGCCAAGTCTTTGACCCAAGGCCGAACACCGGAGCCCTCAAAAGCCGTCACTTGCGGACTCCGTATAGCAAAACCCGCACGCTCATAATCCAATTCTTCGTTCAAGCATCGTCAAAAGCAGTGTCGGCCAACCTTAACAGAAAAACTACACGTGAGGGCTGCGCCCTCCTTCCAACTTCCTTGATGCGCCCACCGAAAGCCTCAACCCGGCCTACCTCTCCGGGCCAAAAAATCAGCTTAAGCCCTAAACCCTGACCCTAAGCCCAAATCGTAGACTTCAAAAATGGCCTAAATCTAATGTGGGTGCTTTAAGAATTAGAATAGGGTTTTGGGGCCCTTTCTACTGTAATTATAACAAGGAACCCTCAAAAATAGCCCAGGGAGCCCAATACCCCTTGATTAAGGAATATAGCTTAAATCATAATATGAAGTCCTACATAATTTAAACCATATTCCTTAATTAAGGGGTATTGGGCTCTCTGGGAGTATAGGTAGTTAATTATTAAGACCCTATATTAAAAATAAGGAGGAGCCCCGGCTCCCGAGAATCCCAAGTCTTAGAACAGCACAAGCAGCAGAAGCCAACCCTCTTGTTTGGGGTTTAGGGGTTTAGGGTCTGGGGTTTAAGGGTTTCGGTTTAGGGTTTGGGGGTTTACGGTTTTAGGGTTTTAGGGTTTAGTGGTTTTTGGGTTTAGCGGTTTAAATTTTAGGGTTTAGGGTGTTCGGGCTTTCCCGGCATGTGCTTCAGGGTTATCCTATGCTTGGGATCCGTCTGAATGTATTCATCTTCGTCGTAGTTGCGTCGAAGGATCCGAAAAGTGGACCCTACCCCTTTTGGCCAGGCGTAGAGGGTTTGCGGTTGCCCTCAGGCTAGCTGGGCAAGCGCTCTGGACGGAGCCGTGTAAGAGGCGTAGGCTCATGTGATCATCTTTGACAAAGCTTTATACCAACATTTCGAAACTTACACAGTGTGTACTCTTGCCCCGAACATACCCAAACCCCTGGCCCTGCGTTGCAGATTTTCACGCGAAACAGCAACCGGCTCACATTGCGCTTTGTCAACGAACAAGCCGGAGCTGGCGACATTAACATGCGAGTTGGAACCCTAACGCCCTGAACCCTAAAGTATACATTATAAGCCTAAACAACTCTGAACCCTAAACCTTAAAACCCATAGAAGGCGGATGCTGGATGAGCAAGGACAGCAGCCGGATTTGGGAGCATGTTGCGGCTTTATGGCTGATGCGGATATGGATAGTTCCGTACTATTTGGGGGCCTTGAACAGGGGCCCTAGCTTAGAGAGCTCCCCATGCGTCCATACTGCGCAGAGGCACTACGACGAATTGAAGGTCTAGGGACTTGGGATTCAAGCGCAGGGTTCGACAGGCGGAGTCAGGAGGCAGCTGTGGAGTAGGGAGTAGCGATTTGGAGCTCCAAGTGTCAAGCTGGTAATATTGGGACCATGTCAATATTGATTGGCTTATTGGTTGGAATAGGGTTTTTGGGTAGGGGATGCTATGGTATGGCATAGTATCGTATCGTATAGTCCCGTATAGCGTAGTATAGTTGAATAAGCACAATACAGGGATACTATCTCTATAGGAGTATTCCGTTCTCCATTACCTACCAAAGCCTTATTGAACTGCCGTTCCTCTGTTGTTGAGCCTATACTCTACGAACCTAGGCTATAAAATTCCACACTCGGCTACCTTAACATAGAGTAAGCTGAAACCGTATGAGTTTTTCGACACCGGCTTTTTGGAGGGGGTTCAGGGTTTATGGTTTGGGGTTTAGTTTAGGGGTCAGGGTTTACGGTTTAGGGTTTGGGGTTTAGGGCTTGGGGTTTTAGGGTTTAGGGTTCAGACCCCTAAACCCTAAACCCCTAAACCCCCAAACCCTAAACCCAACAACCCTAAATCCTAAACTCTACCTCTCTAAAATCCTAAACCGGAAAGCCCACACCATATACCCGAAGAAAGGGGTCGGGAGTTCACCCGCCAGCTTCGTCCAAGTCGTCGAAGTCGAAGAAGCCACCTCCAGGGCTACCGGTTTGCGGTTTAGGGTTTAGGGTTTTAGGGGGTTGGGTTTAAGGCTTAGGGTTCAGGGTTTAGGATTTAGGGCCTACTTCCCTCGGGATTTCAAGGGCTTTTACTATTTACTTGCAAGGCAAAGCGCA